TAAGGATTACTCCTTCCCCAGTGTGGGCTGGAGCCCCAGCATGGTGGACCTTTATAATGAAGTCACGGAGAAGATAGAGGATGGGTCGCGGACAAAACTATCAGTTTGCTGATGCTCTGTGCAGTCTGTTATTTTTTTAAATTTTTTAATATTTTATTTATTTCTAGGAGAGAGAGAGAGACAGCGTGAGCAGGGGAGGGTCAGAGAGAGAGGGAGTCACAGACTGAAACAGGCTCCAGGCTCTGAGCCGGCAGTCAGCACAGAGCCCGACGCGGGGCTCGAACCCACGAACCGCGAGATCATGACCCAAGCGAAAGTCGGACGCCTAACCGACTAAGCCACCCAGGCGCCCCGATGTTTTGTTTATTTCTGAGAGAGAGAGAGAGAGACAGCGTGAGCAGGGGAGGGTCAGAGAGAGAGGGAGACACAGAATCTGAAACAGGCTCCAGGCTCTGAGCTGTCAGCACAGAGTCCGACGTGGGGCTCGAACCCACAAACCACCAGACCATGACCCGAGCCGAAGTCGGATGCTTAACTGACTGAGCCACCCAGGCGCCCTGGAAATCAACTTTTTGTATACCTGTAATATATATTATAGAATAGTCTATCTGAAGGATATTTTTAGATTTGATACATATTATGTATCCTCATGATAATAAAACCCTATCTGTATAAAGAGGAGAAAAACAAAACCCGAAATAAATTCTGTTTACAAGAGAGAAACAAAGTAGAAGAAAATAGTTCGGTTTGAAGGAGAGGAGAACACATACAGTAATTAAAAGAATGCTGAGCATTGCAGACTTTCAGGAAGGGAGTATTGTTGGAGGAAAAGACATATTTATGAACGATAAAAGAGGGTACCTAGCTGGCTCTGTTCTTGATCCTGGGGTCATGAGTTAAAGCCCCACCTTGGATGTAGAGATTATAAACAAACAAACAAACACACAAACAAATAAACAGACTTTTAAAAAAATGATTAAAAAATCAATTCAGTAGAAAGATCGATAAATCTGGGCACCTGGATGGCTCAGTCAGTTGAGCGTCAGACTCTTGATGTCAGCTCATGTCATGATCCCAGATTCAAGGGATCAATCCCTGTTTAAGATTTTCTCTCTCTTTCTCTCTCTCCCTGTGCCCCTCTTCCCTTCTCCCCTGCTCGGGCTCTCTCTAAAATAAAACACAAAAAATTAAAAAAACACTTATGAAAGGTTTACAGACCTTCTATTTGAGTGCACCTAATAACATAGCTCCCAAGATATATGCAGCAATATTAAACAGGATTAAAATGAAAAATAAACTTACAATCACCGTTAGAGATTTTAATAGACCTTTTGCAGTATAAGCGAAAGCATAGAATAAGCAAACAGAAAATCTCAGCAAGAATGACGCCTTGACCAATCTGATTAACTGGCTCCAGGCGACAAGCACACAATATGCCCATTCTTTTCACACGTACACGGGGCATTTACCGTAATAAACCATACTGAGTCATGAAATAATTCCAATACATTTTATAAAAGGAGCACGTGGCAGCTCAGTCGATTGAGTGTCAGACTCTTGATTTCAGCTCGGATCCTGATCCCAGAGTCATGGGATCCAGCCCTGCGCCACCTCTGCAGGGTAGGCTACCTGGGATTCTCTTTCCCTCTCCTCTGTCCCTCCCACGCTCATGTGTGTGTGTGTGTGTGTGTGTGTGTGTGTGTGTGTGTGTCTGCCCACGCGCGCACACGTGCACTCTCTCTCTCAAAATAAATAAACTTTAAAATTTTTTCAAAAACCCGAATGCACACCCCTGTATTCTCTGAGAATAGTGGAGTCAAACTAGAAACAAAAGCATAAGGAAATCCTTAAGTGTTTGGAAATTTTAAATTAACTTTTTAATTTATTTATTTTGAGAGAGAGAGAGAGCATGCATGAGTGGGAGACGGGCAGAGAGAGAGAGAGAGAGAGAGAGAGAATCCCAAACAGGCTCCATGCTGTCAGCAAGGCTGATGGGGGCCTCTATCCCACAAACCATGAGATCATGACCCTGAGCCAAAATCAAGACTCGGAGGCTCAACTGACTGAGCCACCCAGGAGACCCTAAATTAATTTCTGAACAACTCATGATAAAAAGAATTCACGATGGAAAACAGAAAATAATTTAAATTGAAAATCAATGAAAATCTTTTGTATGAAAATATGTGGGATCCAGTGTAAGTGGTGCCGAGAAGAAATTTTATAGCTTTAAAGGCATCTTTCAAAAATTTTTAAATGTTTTTATTTATTTTTGAGAGAGCGAGAGAGAGGGAGAGAGACAGTGTGAGCAGGGGAGGGTCAGAGATAGAGGGAGACACAGAATCTGAAGCAGCTCCAGGCTCTGAGCTGGCAGTCAGCATAGAGCCCGATGCGGGGCTCGAACCCACGAACCGCGAGATCATGACCTGATGCTCAACCGACTGAGCCCCCCAGGTGCCCCTAAAGGCATCTTTCAAAAATGAGCAAAGGTTGGAGCCCCTGGGTGGCTCAGTCGGTTAAGTGTCCAACTCTTGATTCTGGCTCAGGTCTTGATCTTGCAGCTGTGAGATGGAGCCCCAAGTTGGGCTCCACGCGGGGCACCGAGCCTGCTCAAGATTCTCTCTCTCCCTCTGCCCCCTCCCCCACTTGCTCTCTCTCTTCTCTCTCTCTTTCAGAAAAAAAGAAAGGTTGATAATCAGTAATCTAAGATTTCATTTCAAAAAGCTGGAATAAAATAGAAATTAAACCTAAGGAAAGCAGGTAAGATAAAGATAAGAGCAGAAATCAGTGTAAAGATAAAAATAGAAGATCAACAAACCCAAAAGCTGGCTCTTTGAAAGGACTGATAAAATTGATAAACCTCGGGGGCGCCTGGGTGGCTTAGTCGGTTAAGCGTCCGACTTTCGCTTAGGTCATGATCTCGCGGTTCGTGGGTTCGAGCCCCGCGTCGGGCTCTGTGCTGACTGCCAGCTCAGAGCCTGGAGCCTGTTTCAGTCTGTGACTCCCTCTCTCTCTGACCCTCCCCTGCTCACGCTGTCTCTCTCTCTCCTAGAAATAAATAAAAAAAACATTTAAAAAAAAAAAAAAAATTGATAAACCTCGGGGTGCCTGGGTGGCTCAGTCAGTTAAGTGTCCGACTTCAGTTCAGGTCATGATCTCAGGTCGTGATCTCACGGTTCGTGGGTTCGAGCCCCGCGTCGGGCTCTGTGCTGACAGCTCAGAGCCTGGAGCTGCTTCAGATTCTGTGTCACCCTCTCTCTCTGACCCCCCCCTACTCACGTCTCTCTCTCTCTCTCTCAGAAATACATAAAACATTAAAAAAATAAAATTAAAAAAATTAAAAAAAAAACTAAGACATAATTAACATACAGTGTTGTATTAGACTCAAGTGGACGATACACTAATTCAACAGTTCTATACATTACTCAGTGCCCATCATGAGAAGTGTACTCACCATCCATCAAACAACACTACTGACTGTACTTCCTAGGCTGGGCTTTTCATCTCCGGAACTTGTTTATTCCAAAACTGGAGGTTTTTACCTCTTAATCCTCTTTATCTATTTCACCCATCCACCCACTGACTTCCCCTCTGACAGCCATCAGTTTCTTCTCTGTATTTAAGAATCAGGTTTTGGGGCGCCTGGGTGGCTCAGTCGGTTGAGTGTCCAACTTCGGCTCAGGTCATGATCTCGCGGTTCGTGGGTTTGAGCCCCACGTTGGGCTCTGTGCTGACAGCTCAGAGCCTGGAGCTGCTTCAGATTCTGCGTCTCCCTCTCTCTCTGACCCTCCCCTGCTCATACCGTCTCTCTCTCTCTCTCTCTCAGAAAAAAAAAAAGAATCTGGTTTTGTTTTATTTCTTTGTTTGTGTCTTTTTTCTTTGTTCATTTGTTCTGTTTCTTAAATTCCACATATGAATGAATTCACACAGTATTTGTTTTTCTATCTCTGACTTATTTCAATTAGCATAATACATCTAGGTCCCACCATGTTGTTGCAGATCTGACCAGGATTTTTCACTTAAGTAATTAATTAATTTACTTTGAGAGAGAGAGAGAGAGAGAGAATGCATGTGTGCGAGCAGGGGAGGGGTAGACAGAGAGAGAGAGAGAGAAACCCAAGCAGGCTCCACACTCAGCACAGAGCCCAACTCAGGGCTCGATCTTACAAACCATGAGATCATGATCTGAGCTGAAATCAAGAGTCAGAGGCTCAACCAACCCAGCCACCCAGGCGCCCCATGACCAGGACCTTTTAGAAGGAAAATTATAGAGCAATGAACAGAAATACAAAAATCCCAAGAATCCAATGATTTATTAAAATTATCATGACCAAGAAGTCATTTTTCCCAGATAAAATACAGGTTGATTTAAGATAAGCAAATCAAACAATGTAGTTCACCAAATTAACAGAATAATAGAGGAAAACTCTATGTTCACCTTAATAGATAAGAAAAAGTATTTGATAATATTTGATAATGTGATACAGGCTCTATAAAAACTAGGCAAAAATCCTGAAATTAACATTATACTTTTAATAGTTAGATATACAGACTATTTCCCAGAAATATTAACCAACTCTTTGAAAGCCGAGAGGATTCATCTGCAGTAGTAGTAGCTCATTAAATATCGTAAGAGATGCCTGTGTCTGTAACCACATTTCTCTTCTTTTTGTTTTTTTTTTTTTACTATTTTTTTTTTTTTAAGAAAGAGAGAGAGAGCATGAGCAGGAGAGGTGCAGAGAGAGAGGGAGAGAATCCCAAGCAGGCTCCATACTCTCAGCACAGAGCCCGACGTGGGGCTCAAACCCATGAACTGTGAGATCATGACCTGGGTCAAAACCAGCCATCCAACCTACTAAGCCACCCAGGCGCCCCCGGAGCCACGGTTCTCAGAGTATCCTTTCACATGGCCTCAGACTCCAGCTTAAACCACCTTTGTCTCCTGAACGAAGCCCAGGGGGGCAGCAGAGGCCGGTTTCCAGGCCCCCTACCCCCCCCCCACCTCACAGAATATAGTCTATGCTGGAGGAACGGAGAGGGTGCGGGCAGGAGGAGGAAGACCTTTCCCAGGCCTCCCGCGGGACTCGTCTTCCCACATAGACGAGGACGTGGCTGCAGCTCTTCCAGAATATTTCCGAGAGGTGTTTCTTGAACCTCTCGCCCATGAAAGCGTAGATCACAGGGTTCACGCAGCAGTGAGTGAAGGAGATGGTCTCTGTGACGTGGGTGGCGTAAATCAGCCGCTGGCTCAGGGCACATCCGTCCAAGACCTTCATGCCGAACAGCGAAGTGAGGAAGAGGACCACGTTGAAGGGGACCCAGAAGAGCAAGGAAGCCATCACGACGATGAGCACCAGCCTGATGGCCTTGGTCTTGTGGTGGTTTTGGCAACTCCTCAGCTGGTGCAGCATCCGAACGTAGCAGAAGATAAGGATGGTGAATGGGATCAACAGACCCAAGATGTTAATCTCAAAGTAGATGAAGATCTTCCACTTCAGAGTCTGCCGATTGTAGGACGGATAACACTGTAGAACGCCATCTTCAGAGGCCACCTGGTACAATACCAGCAAGGGGCTGGTGGCCACGATGGCGATCAGCCACACGGCCAGACTCAGGGTTGTGCCCATTCTGGCCGTCCTCACTGTCATGGCGTATATGGCGTGGACAACTGCCAGGTACCTGTCCACACTCATGAGGGTGATGAAGAACATGCTGCTGAAGAAGCCCATGTAATAAACCCCAGAGACCAGCTTGCACATTACAGTCCCAAATACCCACTGGTCCAGCTGATAGTGGGTCTGGAAGGGGAAGGTGAAGACGAAAAGCAGGTCCGACAGGGCCAGGTTCAGGAGGTATATATCCGTGATGCTCCTCAGTTTCTTGCAGACGACAAGGACCAGAATGACCAGGCTGTTCCCCAGGAGACTGAATACAAACAGGACACAGTAGAAGGTGGCCAGCACCAACTTGTTGTGTCGTTGAATAAGTTCCCCGTCGCAGGGGCTTGATGCAATATCGGGATAGTAGTCGTCACTTATGGTTGTCACATTGGGCTCCAGTGTGTAATCCATCGAGGCGTGAGGACCAGGTCAGAGATTCACTCCTTAAAAATATTTTCATTTAAAAACATAGTCTGAATTCTAACCACCACCCCCTCCCCGCACCGCCCCATTCGTATGCTGAAGCCCTAAAGTCCTATCATGGACGAACATTTGCGTCCTCGCAGAATTCATATGGTGAAACCCTATCCCACGCCGTGATGGCATGAGGCTGTGGGCTCTTTGGGAAATGATTGCCTTAAATGAGGTCATGAGGGTAGAGCCCTCGTGAACGGCTCTTATATGAACACCTTTATAACAATCGGAGACAGCTTGCTCCCTCTCTCCGCTCTCCGCCACGCGAGCATACAGGGAGAGGTGGGCATCTGAGGCTGGCAGACGGCTCCCACCAGGGTCTGCTGATACCCTGGCTTTGGATTTCCCGGCCTCTAGAAGGGGGAGAAACAAATTTCTGTTGTTCAGAAACCACCCACTCTGTGGTATTCTGTTATCATAGCCCCAAACTGGCCAAGACCCCCCAACGTCACTATCTTAGGACATGAGCCATTAAGGCGATAATCGTAGTTCAGTGACATCATAAAAGTGGGGCCCTAATCTATAGGCCTGGTGTCCTTATACGAAGAAGACGCACTCAAGCTGTCCCTCTCTCTCTCTCTCTCTCTCTCTCTCTGAGTGCACAGGACAGAGACCATGTGAGGACACAGCAGGACGCTGGCTGCTCCAGGATGAATTTCTGTTGTCTCAGCCACCCTGTCTGTGGCATTTCATTGCGGCAGCCTGAGCTGACTGGTACAGGCCATGGTCCTTAGACATAGATGCTACCCTAACAAGTACCTAAGTGGCACTCTGGAAGTGGCGGAGGTGGAGGTGTCCTGAGGCACACGCTGGCGAAAGCTGAGGCTGCCTCGAGGAGGCTGTTGGTGGCAATTCGGAGAGTAAAGGTGATCGTGCTGAGGGCTCAGAAGGAAGGGAGGAGGCTGGGGAGAGATTTTCTGTCACCTCAGGGAATACACGTGCTATCGTGAACAGAAAATGGAGAGAAAAAATGAATTTTAAAGGTACTTCTGTTGAGGTCTCGGATAAGAGTGAGGAACCCGTTATTGGAATAGAGAAGTTGATCCTTGCTGGAAAGTGGCAGGATTTCGCTCTAGTGCCTTGTGAAAGGTAGAACTTGCGAATAATAAGACTGGACATTTGGCTGGGATATTTCTTTCTTTTTTTTCTTTTAAAATTTTTTAGTGTTTATTTATCTTCGAAAGAGAGAGAGAGATGCAGCGCAAACAGGGGAGGGGCAGAGAGAAAGGGAGGCACAGAATCCAAAGACAGGCTCCAGGCTCTGAGCTGTGAGCACAGAGCCCGACGTTGAGGCCCGAACCCACGAACTGTGAGATCATGACCTGAGCTGAAGTCGGACGCTCAATGAACTGAGCCCCCCAGGGCACCCCTGGCTGGGATATTTCTAAGCAAAGTGTTAAGGGGAATCCTGGACTCTGTACAGCTGATAGTAAAATGGTAGAGGAGAGAGGTAAGCCGACGGAGTTGTTAAAGAGGAATCAGGACCTGAAGATTTGGAAAACTCTCAGCCTATCCATGCAGCAAAAATGAGGAATTGTTTCCGGAGCAGACGCCCAAGGTGTGGCTGGACAATCACTCCGCAAAGAGATCGCCCATGGGGTCAAGCGGCCACATCACCAGTAGCCAGGGGTGGAGACACTGCCAGTTTGGACAAAAGCTGTAGAGACCCCACGTAAGCAACGAACCCGTTAGGACTCTAGGACCCTCCGAGACGGATGACAGAGCTGTGTGCCTGCGAGCACACTTTATCCAGAAGAGGGAGGGATGTCCCTGAAGATAGATCAGCAGGGCTACTTCTGCGCACCCCACGCCACGGGGGCAGGACCACGGCCTGGGCCTCCCCTCCCCAGACGACACTGCCTCCTGGTGGGCCTCCAGGGCAGAGCGCCCAGACCAAGCGGATTATCCTTGAGCCTTACAACCTAGTGGAATTTGCCTTGCTACCTTTGGGGCTCCCCTGGGACCCACCCATCGCGCTCTTCCTTCCGATCTGTTCCGGGTGGGGTGGGAGCGCCTATCCCACGGTGGTCCCACCACTGTCGGTTCCGGCCCGCAGCCGGGGACGAAATCCGTCTCCGGGTGAAGGACGCCTCTCGCCCCTCCCTTCCCTGATTTGGATGATAGCCGGGTAAGACTGGGGGTCTAGAACTGAGGCTGGAGTGGATGCAGACTTTGGGAGCCTTTGGGGTGGAGTGACTGTTTTGTGCTTGAGAAGGACCTGAATTTGGGGAAGCCAGAGGGCAGGATGTTAAGGACTGAACTGTATCCCCGTATGTTGAAGCCCTAATTCCCTCTGTGATGCTCTTTGGGGACAGGGTTCAGGAGGCAATTAAGGTTAAATGATGTAGTCAGGGCGAGGTCCTGATCTGACTGGACTGGTGCCCTTGTAGGAAAAGGAAGAAACACCGGAATCTCTCTCTCTCTCTCAGTTGATGCCTATAGAAAAGGTCATGTATGAGGACAGACTGAGAAGATCAGCTGTTTGCAAGCCAGGAAGGGGCTGTTACCGGGAACTCAATATGTCAGCACTTTGACCTTAGCCTTCTGGCCTTCAGAACAGTGGAAAGATACATTTCCACCCAGACTGTCCTGTATTGTTACGGGAGCCAACGCAATACGGGAACTGTTAATATTTTCTGTCCAAATTTTCTGTAAACCTCAAGCTTCTCTAAAGACTAAGGTCCATTAACACATTTTAAAAATTGAAAATTGCCCCAGCTGACCAGTACAGGGGGAATTAAGTGGGCTTAGAAAGGCCAAAATTTATGAAGAAAATTTAAATACCTACACTCCCACCACCCAGAGTTAGCAATTGCTAACGTATTGCCAGATTTGCTTTTGGGTTTTTTTTTTTCTCTTTTTTCCTCCCTCCCTCCCTCCCTCTGTTCCTTCCTTCCTTCCTTCCCTCCCTCCTTCCTTCCTTCCTTTCTTCCCTCCTTCTTTCTAGGCTGTCTGCCTAATGCAACAGAGATGAAACTAAAACTCCCTTTAACTGCGTGGCGCGTACCCACATCCTGGAAGCAACTACTAAAGCCAGTGTGTGGAATCATTCATCCTGAACAGTTGCCTCCTGTGCTTTTACGCACTTAACTGTACCCATAAATCGTATATAACATTGTTCTGTGCTCTCTGTGGACTTGCACGAATGGGGCCATGCCTCCCATTTCATATCTTGCTTTTCGCCCCCAGCTCTGTTGCTCTGGAAGGGCGGCCACACGGCTCTGAGAAGTTCAGGTCATTCTGTTTACTGCTCTTACAAACACCGTAAGTAACTGTTTTTAAAATGCAGCAGAAAAAGATCATCCAAATCACACTAGCCACAAAAATCGCTAAGATTTCCGAGAATAAATGTGATTTTAAAAAGCCCTTCAGGGGCGCCTGGGTGGCTTAGTCGGTTAAGCGTCCGACTTTCGCTTAGGTCATGATCTCGCGGTTCGTGGGTTCGGGCCCCGCGTCGGGCTCTGTGCTGACTGCCAGCTCAGAGCCTGGAGCCTGTTTCAGTCTGTGACTCCCTCTCTCTCTGACCCTCCCCTGCTCATGCTATCTCTCTCTCTCTCTCTCTCTCTCTCTCCTAGAAATAAATAAAAAACATTAAAAAAAAAATTAAAAAAAAAAAAAAAAAAGCCCTTCAATTTGGTTATGTAAAAGATTGTAAACTTGTGTTGCAGGCCCTCGAAGAAGACATGATTGAAAGGGAAACGTATGTTATATGTATGTGAGGAAAAGACTCAACAACAAAAACATGAGGAGTCTCAGATTGACATATACACTCACGGAGCTTTCGATTTAGACATTGTCTTTCCAGGCGATCGACTGCTGAGCGTTCAGACCACTAGACCACCTTTCTACAATTTGAAAGGCTAAGCATGTCAGCCATTTTTAAAGATGCTCATTTCATTTCAGTATGCACCCCCAAATGAAGGTAAAACCATACTTCCTGAAGTGCGGGGGTGGGCCTTTTTCTTGTGGCTCAAAAAGTGTCTCTCAAAGTAATAGCCTCTCCTCCTACACCTTCCTTCCCACTTGTCTTGCAGTTATTTTAAAAAATAATTTTCAGTTTGCCACCCTTCTGTTCTGCTCTCTGAATACCCTAGAATAAGAGGGGGCCCTCAACTTCTTCCTTCCCCAGGTCCTTCCTGCTGACCCCCAATCCACACTCCCCCCATGCTCTCTCATCAGTAAAACCCAAGCGAAGTCTTAAGAATGTCCACCATTTATTCCAGGGGAACAGGCACGTCAGATGCAGGGATCACTTATTTCTCTTGAACCCCTGTGAAGCAGGCCCTCAGATCCCTTCCATTTCTGGAGTCAGGGTTGCATCTGAATCTCAGAGAGCCCAATGACTGAAGCCACAGAGAGGAAGGCCGTAGACCCAGCCCTCGAAACTACATCTCCTCCAAACCCTTCTTCTCTTCTATATCTCTCCCTTCTCTGGGTAGAGCAAAACCACTCCATTCTTTTGGAGTTTAGGCCACCTGACTTCCAAGTTCTAGACTTTTTTGTACCCAAGTAGTGTTTGTCTGGATGGAGCCTAGGAGCCAGCAAAACGAGACTCCTTCCAGCTGCCTGGTGATAAGTATTTTCTTCTCTACCTTTGACTCCCTCCTGGTGCCTTGCAGAGAAAGCGGCGTGGCTTGCTTCCCTCAGTCAGAGCCACGGGCAGCCACGAAGAGATCTGCAGGTTTGTGGACTCAGGATGTTAAAGATAAAAAGATTACTCCCCCCACGTGCCAAACTTCTGAAATATTGGCCTTCCCTTTGCCTTTCTCCCAAGGACATAGAAGAGTCCTTGCCTAATGATGTCCTTCGCCCCCGAGGATGTTTATTAATACATACCTTGATTTGAGCCTTTGTTCTGGAGAGTTCAGTGTTGCTAATTCCTTCCTTTCAGAACCTCCCCTCTGTGCATGCAGCTCAGCGAGCAAGAGGCGCTCTGG